TTTCTGAATGAATGAGTCATGAATGATAAATGAAATGGTGTGGGAAAATATTTGCTTAACTATTTAAAGCACTTGAGTCTTTCAAAATACTTTATTTTTTCTTTTAAAAATAGCCTTTTTTTTCAGATTAAAAAAGCAATAATGCTGACTACAGCAATTTTACATACCAAAAAAAAAAAAATCCACAATGAAGAAAATTACAACTGTCTGTAATCCCACTACCCAAAGAAAACCACTTTTAACATTTAGATGTATGAAGAGATTCCAGTAATTTGTGTGTATGAATATATATGAAATTGGAATCCTATTGCCCTACCTAATTTTCTCAAGGATTACAACAAGATCTTTTGGAAGCAGATAGAGAAGTCATTTTGATTGCAATTTAAGTGATGGGAAAACTGGTATGCAAGATACATATCTAATTAATGGCAGAGTCAGGAATAGTAGCCCTGAATCTCATCATAGTCCCAGGCTCCTCTACTCCTCATAGGCCTCCTACTTAAGTGGCGTTATTCTCACAAGAAGAAATTGTGCATTAACCTACAATCAATGGCACATGGATCTGTAACTAGATGCTCTTTCTCAGGAAAGGGACAGATTTAAGCTGATCCTATATCTGCATCATACCTGTGCAGTGCATAGGGGGACTGTTTAACATTTCTAAGGGAAACAAGGATGGAGCATTTAGGATCTCATCCCTGTAACCAGCAGACTTAGGCAGGCACCATTAAGATTCAGAGTTTCCTTCCAGTAGGCAAATGGCATCTGAACAGTGAGGGCATGGCTGAGAGCATGTTGCTGTGGGAACCACAGCCATAGGTTCAATCCTACCAGTCCACTGACTAAATTCTAGAACCATGTACACAGTAAGTGCTCAATAAATGTGCATCAGGCTGAACCGAATGTATATTATTATTCAGCAGTGACAGCATTAAAGGTGACAGCAAATATAAATATCGCCACCACTATACCCACTATAGAAAATGCAGTCCAGTGTGAACTAGATTTCTGCTTTATTCTAAATAGAGGACTAAACTGTAATCCACCAAACACAAACACATGCCAGACTGTTAGCTCTGCAGATGAGGGAACCATATCTTATTTATCTGTGTGTCCCCAGAATACCTAGCACAGAGGCAGACACATTTGAAGTGTCAATGTTTTTTGAATTGAATTATATTTGCTTGGCTGGCGTGGGAGTTAAAAAGATGTTGACTAGTAATTCACCATTCCTTTCCCTGGAAGCTCTGTAAATCAAGCTCTTAAAAAAAGCAGCAAGCTAAATTCCAAAACCCTCTCTTAGGAGAAATGCCCACGGCTGGTGGGGTCTGGACTATGTCCACCAAATGTGCAGATCTCTTCTGCACAAACATCACTTATTCCCAAGGGAGTCCCTGACTGGCTCACTGGCTGTGGAGACTCACACGTTCCCTCTTTCCCAATGGCAGGAGGGTCAGGGGAAAGGGGTGGGAGTTGATGATGAAGCACTGCTGAACTAAATGTTCTCCTCTTCCCAGGAGGGAAAATCTCCAACAGTAGGAGTGTTGGCATTTTTCTAGAAGAACAACCATAAAGAACATGAGATGTAGTTGGAAATGATCTTTTCTGAAGACAAGTTTTCTTTTTTAAAGGGCCACTCTCCTCTTCTCTCTTACCTAGACTGCTATTGGAATGACTTTGCCAAAGCTGCTAGAATCCCACAAGTTGGGATCAAAGTCAACTTGGCAGGTGGAGGGGTCATATGGGATATGGAGTGAGGAGCCATTAGGCCAAGATCCTCATTTTTTCTAAGTTTATCTAAGAGCAGTAACAAAAACAAAAACAAAACCATGTTTGCTAATAAGATCCTTTCCTTAAATACACTGAGCTGCGTTGGAAGAAACTGAAATAGAAATTACTGATTTTTCTGGGAGACAAAACACACCTCACCAATCCCCAAAGCTCTTAACAAACTCTCTTGAAGGTTTAATCACAATGTAAAGTCCACAAGTTTTCATCGGCAATGTCTGGTCATCGACTGTACAACCCTCTGAAGTGGCACCCAGTACAACTCCCAGATTCGCCTCCACTGCCCATTCCAAGGGCCTGCTGGCAAGGTCTTCCTGACTGATGCCCTGGTCTAGCCTAGTAAATTCTTTCCAGGGGAGATTTAGGACACATACTTTCAGTCTGTCGAGTTCTTTACTTATAAGGTGCAGAATTTATTAGCGCAAAGAAAATAAAAAGAAAGGCTGCCACCTTAAGTGTTTTTACATTCGGTTTCCTTGTTATTAGAGTTTGTTGTTTCCAGAAATACAGCTGCCCAGCTCATTTGAGCCTTTGTGCTGAATCAGTGGGAGGTGTTTTAGCTTCCCATGGTCTTGTGGGAGCTCTGCAGCACCACCTATCCACCGAGGACTCTTGTGCCACTCTCATTTGAGGAGAACAAAGCCATGAACACGTGCATCTTTAACCTATATGTGGCCAGCAAAGGCACACAGAGTTGATATGAAACCCAGGTTTGTCCACCTCTGGAAATTCAGCCTGTCTAGTCACCCGAAGAATATCTTTTTCTAGCCTAGAGTTTTCTTTTCTCCAGTTCCATAAAATGCCCATTTCCATGTCCAGACCCAAATGACACAAATTTTGGCTTCAGACCATGGGACGGACACCAAAGAGTACCACAGAAAGAGAAAAGAAAATCAGATTTAGAACTGTAAAACTTTGTCCCAGTATTTGTGGGACCTTGGACTTAATATCTTCACAGAACCCTTGTTCTTCAGCAAGGTAAGTATAAATAGTCCTACATCTCTCACCAGCCTCTCTTCAGAGCAGTTATGACAAAGTGCAATTATTTTGTTTATATGTTTATTTATGTTCTATTTATCACTATGCTTTATTAACTTATAAGCTCCAAGAGTTCAGGGACCTTGTCTTTCTGGTTCATCAAAGAGGCCCACTGCCAGGAATGGTGACCAACATGTAGTACATGATCAAGAGGAGTAAATGAGATTTGAGTGAGGTGAGAAGGAAGGACAGAGAAAAGGAAGGTCAGAGTGGATATAGCATTAGTGAGGTACCATATATGAAAGTGATCTGTGAATTATTAAGTATTACCCACATTTTAAAATAATAAGTAACAGTTGATGCATTAGTTATACCAGGGTGAATCTTTTAAAAATATAAGCTAGATCGTATTATTCTCCTGCCTAAAACCTTCTGCTGGCTTTTCATACTATGTATAATAAAGTCAAACTCCTGTTAGCTTTCAAAGCCCTATGGGATCTGACCCCTTGGTGGCCTCATGTCCAACCAGTCTCCCCTTCTCTGCCAGGCCTCCATCACTCTGGTGTCCTTGTGTTTCCTCAAACATGCCAAGCCCATCCCTACTTTGGCGCCTTTGTGCTAGCCCCTTCCTCTGCTTGAAAGTTCCTCTGCAAAGTCTGCATGGCTGGCTCCTTCTCGTCATTGGGCGATTGGCTTAAAAGTCACCTTCTCAGAGAAGCCTTCCTATACACTCCCTCCAAAGAAGCCCTCACTGATTCCTTGTTATAGTACTCTACTATTTGTTTATTCATTTATTTATTACTGGTCTCCCAGTGCCTGATGGTCAGTAAGAATTTATTTTTGTGTGACATTGTGTTTGTTTAATGCTGACACTTCATAGAAACTTTTCTAATTATTATTTTGTTTTATTTCTACAGGTTTATGAGCTCAGACAAACAAACAAAAAACCATTTGGTTCCAACTTGAAAGTTCCCTCTCCAGTGTACATTAGTCACTCTCCTCCCCCTACCAGACTTTGAGAAAGGTAGCCTGGCCCTGTGAATAGAAACAACTATTCCAGTCAGTTCTAGTATTTGTGACTTAATTGGAGTCATGTATAATCAGTGATACAATAACTACTTAGTCCTCTAACCTACAGGGGTTCTTTCAAAACATGGAAATGGTACCACTGGGTGCCAAGCTGTTCTCTGTTCTGGGCTTAGAAGCTTCCTGGCTGAGGGTAAGGGTGAAAATAAGGGGAATGCAGGGCAGGAACAGGCAGAGGGAAGCAAATGGCAGGAACACTCACTGGTTCCAGCTGAGTTTGCTTACTGTGGACCCAAGAGAAGGTGTAATTTTGTAGGAATAGTACTGGACTAGGGCAGAGGGAAGGGTTCTAGAGCTGGTTCTATATCTTCTTCTGTTATAGGAGGTGCAACTTCATCTCCTCAAAGGAGAATCCCAGCTCTGACAGTCTCTGAGCTAATGAGAGGAGCCTGACCTTTCTCCATGACCATGATGTCTATGAAAAGGATGACCCATGTAGTATTTCTGATGAGTGCAGCTTCTCTGGACTAAGTGGGATTTCTCTGATTGGTCAATACAGTCCCCTGACAAATCAAGATCTCTGCTCTTGCCAATCTTCTTTAGCTTTCCTTTCCCTTCTCTCTCCTAGAGAAGTTCACCAACTATATGAGGGTGAATCCCCTCATTGTCATATAGGGATCAACACCTAACTGCAAGTGCACTTCAGCCACTCCCTAAGAGATGGGTTCCTACTGTATCTGATCTTGGCCAACACGGTCCCATCTGCTTATCTGCTTTCAACATGTTGCATCTGACTTTAACTAATGTGTCCTATTAGCATTAAAAACAATCTGGAAAAATTCACTCTCAAGCAGAGTTCAAAAAGGCCACAAATAAATGTGGAATCTCAACTGCACAAGGTTTGTTAAAATAATTTGTAGTAAATAAATATATAAATGTATATAAATATATTAACTGTATAAATGTATATGCATGCATACGTATGTATATATAGATATGTGTGTGTGTGTGTGTGTGTGTGTGTGTGTGTGTAGTGAAGCCAAAGTCTGTAAAATGGGTCAAGAGAACAAAAACATGAATGCTTCTGTCCAATTTATGAAATTACCTCGTTACGGGGGGAGGGAGAATTCTCCCAGTATGGAACAAGATGTGGTCAAAATAACTGAATGACATAGAAGAGGAGTTGGGAATCTTTATCATACACTTACAGGTAATGGGTTGAAATTCTGGTCCACAAGGTGATTGTATCCATGGTCAAAAAATGAATGTCGTATCACAACATCAATGCCCTGGTTAGCGAGCATTCCTAAAGTGTTCAACCATCTAAAAAAAAGCAGGAAAAAAATGCCTTATCAATACATCTTAAAAATGGCAATATAACAAGCTCTATAGAGATTGGCTAACACACACACACACACACACACACATACACACACGTACACCAACCCCCACCATGAAATTTACATAGTACTTTAAAGGAGAAGATTATTTTAAGCATTGAGTACACAGTTGGAAGACATTTTAGGGATTATCAAGTCCAACCTCTTCATTTTATAGGAAAAGAAACAGAGGTCCCGGGAAATAAAATGATAAAATATTTTGTTGCAAATGAATTATCTTACCCCGTAATACCAACAAATAAAATGAATATCCTAGCCGCTTATAAGCCCAATTATCATCTCCCTTGCCCCCTGGCTATAGGACACACAATCACAGGAGAATACACACTACGTCTCCATCATTCAAACTTCCCTGCTTGCACCCTGTCAATGTATATGTACCTTTCATGTGACTCTAACTCACATATTCCTATGACCTATGCAAGAAAGGTCCAGCCATTTACATCCCTCATATATCACTGTCAGCAGTCAATGCAATAATAATTTCCTTGGCACTGTAATTAACAATGCAGAACTTCAACTATGCTACACATCATAATGGAGGACCTGCATTGCTCACACATTATCACATACTCCACTATGCCAAATACCCACTTTCCAGGGTGTGCAATCCTTCCAAAGTACTTCCTTCTTGGTTCTTCCAATACCCACTGCTAACTCTGCCTTTATTATTTATGCATTCAATTCATTCACTCATTCACCCATTCATTTAATTTTCTCTTTGTATTCCTACTTCTGAAACTTTGGGAAATTTCTAATTGTAATAATACATAATATATAATAAATGTGACTGAGAGCTTCAGTCTTAAATAGTATAAAAGATAAGGCATTCACAATCTTTCCTGAGTGTACATGTGAGTCCTCATCTGTACTTCTTTTCCCTTCTCTCACCCTAAACTCCATTTCCTAGCTCTAAGCCACATATAACTACTCGAGGCTACCCAAACTCACCATGCTTTTGCATATTCACCTAAGTATTCATACGTTTTTTTAACTTCTGCTTAGAATTCCCTCCCCCTTCCTCTAACCCACCTCATCTGGCAAATTTCTTGCCATCTATTCATCTTCAAGTCAAGTGTCATCTTCTAAATCCTGCTAGCCCAGCCAACAGTAGTACCTTCCTCCTCTGTACCTTCACAGAACTCATTTACACCCTCTGCCAGCCCACGATAATTACTTCCTTACTTCTCTGCTGTCCCCAGTTGGTTAGGAGCTCACTGAGAACAGACACAATGTTTTAGTTTTGTACCCAAACATCTGTATCAGTTCCCAGCACACTGTAGGTGCTTCAGACTCTATGTTAGATTGATCTGGATAAAATTAGATTCAAGGAACTTTGAGAATCACTATTCAGCATCCTAAGAACAAATTATGCATAGCCATGATTTTCCGAATTTGAAACCATATGGAACTCCAAACCAGTGATTTGTAGAATTAAACTTTTTCTTTACTGGAATAAAGAGCATTGCTAATTTCTATATTATAAATGAGTATTATTAACAATCTTTTTCACATCAACAATTATATTAAAACTAAAAAATATTTACTGACAATTAGATTATAGAAACAAAACAAAGCAAAATGTAAAAACAAAAGTTTTAAATAAAAAAGAAAATCTGACAATTATATAACAGAACTTTTGTTGTTGTTGTTGTTCAGACTGCAACATTGCAACCTAGGAACTAAAATTACTTTTGGAATACCACATGGCTAAGCTACTTGCCTTTATTATTTTTATTAATTTACCAACCCCGTGAAATCAGGATAGCTGATTTAGTTTTTCCTTTAACCACGGAGACACAGTATAAAATATCCTGGGGTAGAACTATAACATGAATTCTGAGTTGATGCACTAAATCAATGGTCTCTCCAGCAATGTAGCACTAATTCAATAGGGTCTATATGGGGTGCCTGGGTGGCTCAGTGGTTTAGCATCTGCCTTTGGCACAGAATCCTGGAGTCCTGAGATCAAGTCCTACATCAGGCTCCCCACGGGGAGCTGCTTCTCCCTCTGCCTATGTCTCTGCCTCTCTCTGTGTGTCTCTCATGAATAAATAAATAAAATCTTTTAAAAACTAGGATCTATATCTAGCAAGTATTTATCTATAAAAACAAGTATGTCTTATTCACCCTTCTATACCTACACTTGCTGAATGAAGAAACAAAATGATGAGTAAATACGTAATCACATCCAGCAGCAGCAGCTGAATATCCATACAGGACTGTATTTTGGTATTTAAAATATCCCATTTGCCATTCATTCATCACTCATTCAACAACACTAATTAATCAGCTGTAAATGCCAGGCCTTGTTCTCAGTATTGAGGAGATATAAAAATGCTTCTCAGTATTGAGGATAGATATACAAATGACATGTGAGTCATTTGTAAAGCACTGTGTATGTAAATACCTGTACTCATTTATAGGAATGGTATCAAATTCCTACTTATGATCTCTGTAGACCTTATAACAGTGATCCAAAAAGAATATATACTCAACAAATAATATGTTAACTCGTAAATCTGGAGGGGTTTTTCCTACTACTATAGGGAGTTTTTGAAGGAACTCTAATGTGAGAGGGAAAAATATGTACCCTCCTTTCTAAACCCACATCCTACATGCACATCTGGGGTCTAGAGCATTCAAAATGACTATGACCAGATCCCTGCTTCCCCATGCTTTTCAGAGTGGAACAGTTAGAGGAAGTTGTCTTCCTCTTCCTCTTGTAAATAATAAGCTCTCTGAGAGGGGGGAAATAAATGATGTTTCAAGTCTCCCTTTCATGCATAAGCAGTGAAAAGTCGCAAGACCACTGATACATCCCACCAAGGATGCTACTGCAGCCAGTAGTTTCCATTCCACAAAAATGACTATTGGCGGGGTGGCAGACACTACTGATACTGGAGACACAGCAGTATGCCAAGGGTATATCTGTAGTGCATCAGAGAGTCTCAAAGCCCTGCCTGGAATCAGAAAATTCTGATTCTTGCATGAATGTGCAAGTGTCCTAGTAGGCTCATCATTATACCATGTATTGAAAAAAAGCCTGAAGATGCCTTCTTTCCAAGAAGTCATACTAATCTTCTGGAGCTTCTTAGAGTGCTTTATTTCTCCCCCCTAGAAAGCAATTTATGCTCCCTGGAGAACTAGACTCAAAGGACACTTTGCTGGGTGCTGCCAGCAGAGGGGAGAGCAAATGGGTGATAAAGAGGTAAGAGAGAAGACCAGGAGCCCAGTGAACTAGTTCTCATCTGATCTGTGTCCACCACACATCAGATACCTAGTCTACAACCCAACCCTGAACAGCTAGGTTAATCTAGGTTTACAAAGTCACTGATCCATGGATATTTGGCTACTGCTCGTGAAAAGGCAGGTTTCTTTCCAGCTCCCTCTCTGAAGGGCTGTAGTGTTTCTCAGTTCACATCATTCTCTGAAGGGAGGAATGCTCATGAAAACACTCAGAACAATGGTGCTGCTCATTGTCTCAGCAGCAGAGTCTGTCTCTGACAGCTGAGCAACAGCTATTCCTCTGCTGGTCCTGAGAGGCCTCTGCCACTAGCTTTTCGCCCTTGCTCCACAGCTCACAGTGAAACCTGGTGAGGACTGTATTTTTGAAAGGAGACTCTCAGAACCACTGTATCAAATGCTGATTCATCCCATTTCATCCACTTGAACCATGCTCATGGAACAACTGCTCTGTTTCACTCAAGGCTAGGTGCTGAGAACACGGGCATGGAAGACCCAACGTATCATCAGATATTCTTTTGACTCATTATCTTCATCTGCATGTTCCAGGATTCCATCTGCAGAAACAATCTGCTTGACTGCCCTGATTTGTCCTCTACAAATGTATTCAAGAAGCTGCCTTAATGGAAGGAAACTTCATGTGTATAATTACAAACAGCTGTTAGTAAGGAAACACAAAGCTGAGGGCAGAGCTCAGTTCTTAGGAGGATCTTCCCTAGGCAAAAGTCAGGGCCACAGGACCAGAGTGGCACAGGACCAGGTCACTTGGTTAGTCTATGGTCCTGAGAGGTTTGTCCCTGGCACGTAATGCTGGCTGGCCAAGTGGAGTCCTTTATGCTTCTGGGATAAGTCATTGTCCAGATAACTGCAGAAGCCTTCAAATCCATTGTCCTATCTCCTGCCTCTCCACATTCTTGTGCATACTATTCCCAAAGCCAGCGTGTAAACACAAGTCAGAGGGTGTTTCTCTCTTCCACCAAAGTCTTCAGTGGCTTGCCACTGAGTGTAGAACAAGGCCTCATGACTGGTGGAGAAGCACCCTGCCCCCCACCTCATTGCAGCCCTCACTACATCCCTGCAGCTCTTGAGGCTTTTATCACATGACTCATTTCCCCTCCCTGTGCTTCTGCCCATAATGTTCCTTCTGCCTCTCAGGCTCTCCTCCACCATCACCACCATTTTCTACCTATAGAAATTAATTTTTCTATGTTCCCCTCAAATGTTACTTCCTCCATGAAGCCCTTCCTGATTCTCCCAGTCAGAGAAATTCCTGATCTCTTTGCCTGTCTATCACTTCTTTTCTTTTTTCTTTCTTTCTTTTTTTTTTTTTTATTATGACAGTCACAGAGAGAGAGAGAGAGAGGCAGAGACACAGGCAGAGGGAGAAGCAGGCTCCATGCACCGGGAGCCCAATGTGGGACTCTATCCGGGTCTCCAGGATCGTGCCCTGGGCCAAAGACGGGCGCTAAACCACTGCGCCACCCAGGGATCCCCTATCACTTCTTTTCTTGAACAGACCATGTGAAGCAGAAAGAAAGATGGTCTAAGGTAGTGATAAAGAGGCTAGACCATGAAGCAGACTGCCTGGGCTTGAGTCCAAGCTCTCATACCCATCTCATTGGGTGGTTGTAAAATAATAGTATCCGTATCACTGGTTGTTGAATTATTAGGTATAGAGAGAGTACTTCAGAAGCATGTGGCACATACAGTTAAAATTGTTATTATTATGGCAGTAATCTCCTACACCTTTTCTTATCTCCTGTCTCTGTTCCTCCAATCTTACTCTTACCTATCTCCTAGAACTATGGTGAAAACTGGATGAGAAATTATATGTTGTCTGCACTATGAACTATAGATATTAAATAAAAGTCTTATGACTGTCATGGTCACTACTACTACTCTTATTACTACTATCTTTGCTCTGATGTCTGTTGTGTCATTTTAGTGTCTAGAGAAGTCACTCATCACTGTTGGTTGAATGGGTTACAGCCATTCACAAAGGAACAGATAAGGAACTTTTAATGGGAAATGAACCTCCCCCCTCCAGGAGGCAGAATAATGAGCAGTACCACTTCACTATCCTTTTTTCTACAAAGTCCCTGGGAGTGAAACTGCACATGTTACTCACAAGAATCCTGCAGCATAGGAATCTGATAGATTGTTTGTGCCTCCAGCTGAGGTGGTCACCACACCTTCAAGCCAAATCTTCTTTCCTGGGGTGTATGTATTAACCACCTGTTCACACAACAAAATCAGAAGGGGATAAGAAATTGTTAAAAGTTGTTCCCAAAGAGAAGGAAGACATATTTCTTGAGGGAGTTCTGCTGATACCCTGCTCCCAGGTGGGTAGTCACAGTCTGTGTGTCTTCATGATGATTCACCCCACACAGTGAGCTGGCATGTGTGCATACGAGTGTGCGCGCACATGCACGCACACACACACGCACACAGGCATTAACATTGATGTATATCTATTCAAAAAATAACCCTTTTTCCCTAAGTAAACCCAAGTGAAAATATGACAATGAGAACAAGTGCATTTTCTAGGACCTAAGCTGACTGCAATACCCTTCACTGGAAAGTATAAATCATATGATGTTTCCATATTAACAAGTATCGAGAAGGAAATTTTCTTAATACTCTGTTATGGCACATCCTAGGATGAGTCTACTGCCCATGCATCAGAAGTCATAAATCATGAGGGCAGAGGTCAATATTTGGGAGAAATATAGTATAATCACCAGGGCATGTATGTATATTACAACCACATTTTAAAAATAACTGCAGTAAGTACTTAAAAAAATCACTGATCCACAGGTGAAAGATCCTACCTCAGGAGCTTTCCAAGCAGAGGAAAAGCTTCTTGTTAGTTTTGAAATGGCCCAGTCTCTGGTCTTCAAGTTGGAGATGGGCAGACTATCCAGACTAGGGCCCAGATCTCCTAGACAGCAGTGTGTCAATACTTAGGGATAATGTTGTACTCTGGATAGCCCCTGGAAGCAGAGCCTGAGACAAAGGCTTATCTACAGGTAGTTCATTTGGGAAGTAATAACAGGGAGTGGGAATGAGGAATTAGAGGTCTAAATCAGGGAAAAGGCAAAATCTTTTCCTGGATGTGTTTTCAAGTTGGCAACCACTATTGGAAACTTGTACCCAACCTCACAGGAAATTTGGTAAGAGTCTTATGAACTACGTCTCATAACTTCTCCCAAGGGAATTCAAGAAGAAGCATATTTATCCCTTGGCTCCTACCCTTCAAAAGGTCAAGAATGGTCATGGGGCTGAACCCCTGCCCCTCCCCATTGCCCCACTTAATTCTGTAGGCATGAGTGTTGAGCAGGTTTCCCAAGTTCTGTATCTCTGCCTTGGTGAAGTCCCAGAGCAAGAAATAAGAAGTGAGGTTGTACCGCATCACATGGGCACCAAGCTGGTGACAGCCTGTGCACCTGCCCACCTCTGGGCCCTGCAGCAATAGTCAGTACAGGAGGTAGGGCTGAGAGTATGCCAGTCATGCAAAAGAAGAGCTGTATAAAGACAATAGTGTATTTGAATCCTATGGCTTCTAAGGAGTCAAGTATGAGGATGTTCACTATGTTCTTGTTTGAGACAGGTTTCTGTTGCTAAAGGAATGGAAAAGTAAAAAGCGTTGGATACATACCATAAAACATGCAGCAGTTAGAGCAAGAGAGTCAATGTAAATCCAGCAACATGAATTAGCTTTAAAGATTTAGTGGGGAGTTAAAAAAATAGCAACAGAATGAGATTTATGTCACAATATTATTTATGTAATTACTCATTCACATCTAATACACACTAACTAGTTTATAAAGACACATGTCTCTTAAGGACATGTATCAAACTCAGAAAGAGGCATGTATCAAACTCAGAAAGAGGCATGTATTAAAGAGAGGTAGATGTCAGCAGAGATTAGAGATCAAGGTGAAAATTCAAACAAAAGCAGGGCTCTGCATGAACTGATGATAGTTTGCTGTCTTTGAGAAGCATGATTTTAATTTAATTCTCTGCATCTCAGATCCCCAAAAAGAAAAAAATAATGTGAGATGTAGCATAAATGCTAGAACTTGCCATTTACCAAATCCAGAGGCAGGCATCAGCAAACAATCATATTCCTCTTTTCATCCTTCCCTAAGTATAACTACTTGTACTCCTCCCCCATCTACGAGAGTATTTGCATTATTTGAGACCTGTTTTAGAATCAGGGTTGGCAAAGTGCTTGACTCTTTCAGAAGTAAGTTGTAAAAATATTTCACAAATTTGAGTTGGAAGAAAGGATTGTGATCAAGAATGGAAGAAAGATCCTGAGAATTAAAAGTGGAGGTCAAATTACAATGTTATTAAAAATTAAATAAGAATGCCCCCTTTGTACTCAGAAAATGAAGAGTCACTGAGGACACCACAAGGTAGTTCTCTCTCCCTTCTCCATAGGGTTTATGGTGCCCACTTCCCTTTGGAAGGATAGGATGACTAAGAAAATGAGAAAAACACCTTAAATGATCAAAAGACAGAGCTGTATGGGAAACTGGACTGCACTGATGGCTCCCTTCAAAATGTAGTGCTACAAAAACTCTGTGCTCATGATAAACTGTGGGCTTCCTTTATGGTTAACTGGAGTAGAGTAACATATTTTTGTTTTTCTTTTTTGCCTTTGGCTTCCAGGATATTCAGAGTTTAATTTTTGCTCAAAGACAGATATTAAAATAAGGCAGTTAGAGAAAAGGGCTTAAGCAAAACAAAAAGGTAAAATTACAGCATGATGAACCTTGAAGTCATTAAGCTAAGTGAAAGAAGCCAGACACAAAAGGCCACATGTTGTATGATTCTGTTACGTGAAATGTCCAGAGCAGGCAAGTCTGCAGAGACAGAAAGTAGATTAGTGGTTTCCAAGAGCTGGAGAAGGGGAGGGGGAATGTAGGGGAGCTGGGGGAGGGGAGAATGACTGCAAATAGATATGAGGTTTCTCTTAAGGGTGATCAACATGTCTAAAATTAAATAGATAGTTTCACAATTCTGTAAATGCCTTAAAAACTATAGGATTCCACACTTTTAAAGGGTATGCACAATTTCAGGGTATGTGAATTTTATCTCCAAAAATAAAACTCTATGTGTGCATGTATGTGGTGTCACTAGCAAAAGGAGAGGTAGCATCTAATAGGCGGATAACTACAGTGGAAACAGTAATGTACCCTGGAAGTTCTGGATTCTGGCACACACTGGCTGTGACATTTTGGGCTTGTTATTATCTTGAACTTTCTTCATCTACATGCAAAGCCATGAATTGAGAATAGATGAAAACTAAGCTCCTTCTAAAATATAAAATGTTAAAATGTATTAGCATTTTGTGATATTAATACCAACCTCCTTGGCTCCTATTTCTCAACAGTCAAGAGTATCTCTGATTATGGAAGTTAAAATTACATAAACAACAATTATGAGAGATAGAAAAAAGAGTCAAGCTAGAGGTAAATAGTGAGAGGGATAGAAAAAGCCGTTGGAGTAGATGAAATTACCTAAGGAGAATATCTAAAAATGAGTCTAGCAAGGGGCTAAGGGTTTCCATCACAAAACATTAAGGTATTATCAAATGCATTTATTCATTCACTCAACCAATACTTACATACCTGCTATATGCCAAATGGATTCTAGGGGTAGAAATACAGCAGCGAGTTAAACAGAACACGGCTCTGGTCTCTTTGGCTTATATTTTAGTTAAGGGGAAAAATATTAACAATAAAAAGTGAACAAAGAAAAGAAATTTAGAAATAATAAGAGCTAGGAAGAAAATGAAACAGAATAATCTGATAGAAAGTGACTTGGCAGGAGGGGTGGTGGTAGATACTTTAGCTATGCTCAGGTAACCCCTCCGAAAGGTGGTATCTGAGCCTAGACTTGAGTGAAGAGGGAGCACAGAAAAAGGACAAGATATACAGACAGGTTTGTAGAACCAAGAGAAGACCATCTGGAGTATAGTAAGGGAATGTGGAATATGTGGCATTTAAGAAACAAAACAAACGAGCAAAGGAAAAAGAGAAAGAGAGAGAGAGGCAAGCCAGGAAACAGACTCTTGACTATAGAGAAAAAAACTGATGGTTACCAGAGGGGAGGTGGGTGGGGGCATACGGAAAATAGGGGATGGGATTAAAGAGCACACTTATCATTATGAAAATAAAATAAAACAAAATAGGAAAAAAAAAAACAAAATAGGAAAAAAAAGGTCAGAGAAGAAAGGATGGATGTTTCTTATGCTGAGAGTGATGGAAAGCTATTGGAGGTATTTATACAAGAAAGTAATATGAAGTGATTTATGACAAGATTTCATATTATGAGATCATATATACATAAAAAATAAAACTGAAGTGACAGACATGTTGAAGTTCTGTTATTTCTGTGATCACTGCGAGCTTCAATTTCCTCATCCATGAGCTGGAATAATACTTGGCAAAGTTGTGTCAAGGATCCTGACTACTAGTCAAATGATAAATTAGGCCAATCACAGGAAGATCCTGAGAGCTACAGAAAGTGGCATAGACATAGCAGATGAACATTTATGTGGGTCCACCTAAGGTGATGCATGAATTCAAATGAACTAATGCTAAATAGACTGATAATTCATAGTTATAGTTTGGTGGTAGGATTCTGAACTATCATTTATGACCCAACAAAGGAGTCCAGGAATCTATGGACTACTTTCAGAAACTCTGAACTATTAGCTCTTATTTATTATTGTATTTACTAAAAGTCCCTCCCTGTGAAGGCAGGGATCCTATATCATTTGTATCATTTGTATGTACTTCCTAGCAGAGTGCCCAGCACAGAGTGAGTGTTTAATTGGGGGCTGTGGTGCTCTAATTGCACAAAGAAGTCAATATGATTCCAAACCTGACCATGTACAAGCTCACAGGAAACTGCCACTCTTCAAAGAAGTTATATGACCTAAGACAGGGCAACTGAACTGGGCTAAGAACTGGAAGCAGTACCTTGAATACAAAAACAACTTTGTAGATCAGGAAAAATAAAAGCATGCCATGAAAACTTACAATGGCACTAAAGATCTAGGTAAGACCAATACATGTCAATTTGCTAAAGCTCAGGATATGAGGCCTGGGGTCTCCTCTCTCTTGACTTTTGAAAGATGGAAATTTCAGAGAAGGAAAGGGAATTATGCCTTGCTTGCCAGGTAATTTATATACAGAATCCAACAATCCCAGAAGTGGTAA